TGAAGCTTCTTCTCTCATTTCCCTCATTTGCTCCATTTAAGAAAACATAGAGAGAGAGAGAGAGATTTAGAACTATCTCAACTTCCCCTCTCGTCGGAGGAAGGAGGTCACCGTTCATCGGCTCTGTTCTATGACGGCCCACGGTGGTCGGAAGGAGTAAAAAACTCCCAAAACGCTCCTCTCATCTCCCTCAACCCGATTCCTAACCCTTCCAACTTAAAACCTCCCTAGAACCTTAGATCTATAAAAATAGAAGGATTTTTACCTTCGGTGATGGGTTCTTCGAACTATAGTGAGGCCACGACTACAATATATGGGTGAAAGATGACTTTTCTAGGTTCTTACCTCTCGGTTTCTCTTTTTTCCAAAGGGTTTTTCTTTTTTTTCCCTTGTTGTTTCTTTTTTTGAAAGATCTCTCTGGTTTTCCATTTTTTTGTTTTGAATGGTTCCCCTTTAATATCTTGCACCTTTCTTTTTTTTATCCTTGCTTTCATTGGGTAGATAATAATATTTGTTGGATTGACAGTCGGATTGCCTCGGGATTTCCTTGATTTGTTTTCATTTTTTATATTGGGGTTTTGGATTTGATGAGAACTGTGATTTGCTTTTTTTCTTAACTGCTGATATGATTTTTTCCACTGTTTGATGGATTGATCGATGACTGGCAGCTCAGGAAGTAATCGATGGTGGCTCATGCGGTTAGGGAGTATGGCGATGAGGTGCACGCGCTGGCTGAGAAATGAAAGATCGCTGGCGGCGGTGACTAAGCTGGTGAGAGAAAACCCTAAAGAGTTTAGGGTTGGGTTCTCTTATTGGGTCAGATGTTGGGTAATCTGTGTTGGGCCTGGATCAAGTTTGGATTGGGTCTAGATCGAGTCTGTATCAGATTTGGATTCTGGGTCGGGTCTTGTAATTGGGTTGACTTGGTACTAGGCTTGTAATGATGGGTTGTTGGTTATAACCTTGGCTCAATGTGAGGGCCTGCAAGAATAAATGTAAAATATGTAAATAATAATAATAATAATTTTTTAAGACCATGACAAAAACAGATATCTATAGCTGCCATTCTTTGCATATTCTTGTGTTAATAAGAATAGGGAAAAGATGAAAAAGATAACAAGTTTTTGTTCGGTTCTCTTTAACTTTGAAATTTGATGGCAGAGATAACACTGCTCATCCATGATGAAGAGTTATGGTCGTTTTTAGGTAAAATTGGAGATAACACAGTTTCTACGCGATGAGAACTGCTACTTATCTAAGAGTGACATGGCTCATACGTGATGAAGAGATATAGTCGGTGGATAACACATTTCCTACGTAATGAGGACAACTGGTCATCTTTAGGGATAATTTATAACATGGCTCCTACGTGATGAGGACGACTGGTTATCTAAGGTTGACGCGACTCTTACATGATGAGGAGATCAGGTTAGTGGATGACATAGTTCCTACGTGATGAGGGAGGTTGACCATCTTTAGGGATGATGCTAACACAGTTCCTACGCGATGAGAATGGTTGATTATCTAAGGTTGATGTGGCTCCTACATGATGAGGAGATCTGGTCGGTGGATGACACAGTTCCTACGTGATGAGGACGACTGGTTAGGGATAAATGTTTCAAGAGAAACTGTCTCGAAAGAGACAAAATTCGTTTAAAGGGAAACGATCTCAAAGATGATGTTTCAAGAGAAACTGTTTCAAGAGAGACAAATTCGTTTCAAGGGAAATGATATCAAATATGATGTTTCAAGAGAAATTGTCTAAAAAGAGACTAATTTTGTTTCAAGGGAAACAATCTCAAAGTTGTTGTGTTTCAAGAGAAACTGTATCAAGGGAGACAAAACTAGTTTCAAGGGAAACAGTCTCAAAGTTGTATGTTTCAAGGGAAACATTCTCAAAAGAGACAAAACTTGTTTTAAGGGAAACTGTCTCAAGAGAGACAAAACATTGTTTCAAGAGAAACATACTCAAAGACTTTTCTTTCAAGAGAAATTGTCTCAAGAGAGACAAAACTTTGTTAAGGAAACATACTCAATGATTTTTGTTTCAAGAGAAATTGTCTCAAGAGAGACAAAACTTGCTTTGAAATAGACAATCTCAAGTGATATCAATTAGTTTCAAAATTTTCAAAATTTATGAAAAACTGTCTCAAGTGAGATGAAGTTTATTTTTAGAAAAGCAATCTCAAAGGCTTATAGAATGTCTATTTGTTCCTGTATGTTGAGGAAATGCCTCTAGGAGATCTTATCGTTGACTTTAGGATGTCCAAATTATTTCTTCATGTTGAAAACATTTGGTCTTCACTAAACTTTGATTTCCTGAAAGATCAATATAAAATGATGCATTTATGAATGACTATCTTGGATGTTTATGGGTGTCATGATAAAGTTTGTATTTGATTTGATGAATTTTTCAAACTTGTCCTCATGAGAGAAAAAAATGTCTTTAAGAAAGATAAAATTTCAAGTGAAACATTTTTTGAAGTATCCTTATGAGAGGGAAAATCAAAGTCTTTATTGTGTGATGATGAATGTTTGATGCAAAGATGCAAATTTCATGTATCATGTATGTATGTGTTGATGTATGTATGTATTGATGTATGTTTTCTTGATTATCGGTTGGAATGATTGCATGAGCATTCTTCATTCTATCCCTGATTCAGTTGTCTTCATTTCCCACTAGTGTGTACTCTTGTAAACCTTGACCTAAGACAATTTGTTTTCCTTGCCCCATCAAATTTTGCCCCTAAAATTTGGCTTACCTTGCCCCAGCTTCGATCACGAACTTCGAAGAGGTTTGTTGAATTCCAAGATATTCTTCCAAAGAGATTATCTTGTTTGAAAATGTTTTTCTTCCTTTGAAAGAACTTAATGAATAAAGAATTTGTGAATTTTTGTTGTCAAATGAACTAAAATAATGCCCCATATTCGGTTTCACAATTGAATCAAATCACAAAATATGAGTTCATTAAATATCAAAAGAATCAATTTCTCTTTTAATCTTTCATAGTTACAAATATTTGACAAATGTCAGGATCGACATGTTGGTTTTGAGGTTAGCTACCCATATCTTAGGGTTTATCTCATTGATTCGTCCTTTTTTCTTTTCTCGGTCATCTTAAAAATTAGGACATGCCCCACTTTCTTGGTTTGGCATTTTGATCGTAGGCATACAAAATGAAACAACTAGCATAGTTCATTGCTAGACTTTTTAGAACACTTCCATTTCAGTTCTCTAAAATCTTCCATTTGTTCAAGCTTCAGACTCCTCTAGCAAAGGTAGTGCAGAAATATTGGTCAAAAATGAAATTTCTGAGTGCTCGTGTGAAACTGACTATAACAGGTGTTCCTTAACTCCCTTAGTCCATATTCCGAAACTCCTTATTTAGTTCAGGGACATGGCGGGGAAAACGCCACCGTGTTCGGCCTTGATGGCCCAAAGGCCACGCTTTTGGTACATCTTAAATGTGGAATACTTCCCTACACCACGAATGAGATATGGGTTCCGGGACTTGACGGGGGTCTTCTTTTCGACCGCCATTTCTCCTCTAATTGATATTAAGGCCCAATTATCTAAATTATAATTTTGTTCTGTTTTTAATATATAATTTTATTTTAAGTTTAATTTTAATATTTCGTTGTTAAAAACTTAACATACCTTATTATTAATGCATTTTTAAACTATAAGAAGTTGGGATGGGTGCTGTGCAAAAATATACTAAATAGAAACTGAGAGGTAGTGTTTTAATTGTTTAGTTTGGTTGTTCTTGTTTTTATTCCCTCCTGTCCCGCTGCTTTTTTACAGTGTTTTGAAAATCGGACAGGACTGGCCGGTTCAACCGGAAATCGTTGCTTAGTCCGGTTCAATCTACACCGGTTAAACCGTTACTAGTGAATTAATCGAAACCGCTGAATCATTCGAATCGGATCGGCTAAAAATCGAAAAAAACCGCCAATTTTGTTTTTTTTAAATTAAACCAAACGACGTCGTTTGTTAAACGAACCTCGAATTCGAGTATTGTTGAGCTCGACTCGAACTTGAAAACTTTAAAAGTAAGCTCAACTCGACTCAAACTCACGAGCTAAAAATTATCAAGTTCAACTTGAACTCGAAATATAATATTGAAACTTGAACTCAAAAAGGCTTGAACTCAAAAAAAATTTAGAAGCTCGATTGAAGCCTAAAATTCGAGCTTGATTGAAGTGAAAGAATAGTTCACTCAATGCTCACCAAAAGGTTCCATGATTTTGAATGTCAAATTACCTCTATTATTTATAGAAGTTAGTTGGAATGCTCTTCTATTTTTCTTAGCCATGTGGGATTGTTTTGTTCTCATATTTTTACTCTTTAGACTTTTGGGATGCTCTTCTATGTTTCTTAGCCATGTGAAATTGTTTTAAAAAAAAATTAAACCAAACAATATCATTTTGTTATGATTTTTTTAGCCCCAAATTTATTTTTTGATTATAGTTATATAATTATATTTAATATTTAATATGTTTTACCTTAAATATTATGTTGTAGTTAATTTGAATCATTTTGTTTCATTTGATTTTATGATTTTTAAGTTATATATGTTATGACTTGCTTTAAATATGACTTGTGATATAAAAAATTATTTTTTATTAAATATTTTTGGTATTTTATTTAATTTTTTAAATAATTATGACGTCGTACGGTTCTTCCGACCGATCGGGCCGATTTAACCAATTGAACTATTGAACTGGTAGCATGACCGGTCCGATTCTGAAAACCATGGTAAAATATGATTAATTCAGCTGGGATTGTGACGGAGGAGATTTTTATTAGTATCTCTCATAGCGGGGGCATTTGCTAATTGCTCTATCCAGCTATGTATCTCATTAATATGGATCTCACCATTCTGTTAACTGTTGTAAGAATTATAGATCTATTTGCTGTTCGAAGTTAATTGTTTCTTACTTTTTCTTTACAGTGAATTACACTCTTAGACGTATGTTGGTGGTGGTTCTCATTGTAGCTTGTCCGCAGCAACAGCCGTCGATATATGCCATCACTGGCTGATGAAGAGGCCCACCAGCTCTCCTATCAACAAAATTACTTGACTAATATTCTCTCTCTTCTGTCAGAGCCTGTGGAGGGTGAAGGCGAAGAGTCTCTGGTTAGTAGTACTGCTTCTTGCTCTACGTAGTTTGGAATTATTTTATTTTATGGGTTTTGTTTTGTATTTTCAATACAATCAAAACTGTGAGTTGAATATAACTCATGTATTGCAATTATTTTTGTGGGTTTCACAAATGATCATTTGTTGCATTTTAATTATTGATGTCTTTGTAGTTTATATATGGAATGCAATTTTTTAATTTCACCATGTGGTAACTGTAGTTTTAAAGGATAAAAGGTGAGGGCACAGTATAATTTAAGCTGTTGCACTTACACTTATTTTCGTCCATATTTATTTTATTTTATACATATATATATCTATACAAATATATTATATAGTGCGCAAAATGATTTTTGAAAAATACGTATATAATATATGATTTTTAAAAATACATTTTGAAAATGTATATAATATAGTTTTTAAAAATACCTTTGAAAACTATATAATATATAATATTTCAAAACATTTTTAGAAAAAATATATAATATATAATTTTAAAATCATTTTGAAAAGTTATATAATATATAGTTTTAAAATCATTTTGAAATCTATATAATATATAGTTTAAAAAACATTTTTGAAAACATATAATATAGTTTTAAAACGTTTTTGAAAACTATAATCTATAGTTTGAAAACATTTTTAAAATTATATAATATATGGTTTCGAAAATATCTTTGAAATATATATTATATATAGTTTTAAAACAATTTTTTTATATTATATAGTATTTTTATTTTATTCTTTTTTATTTATTTTGTTTTTTGTTTTTATTATTTATTTAATCATTTTTATTTTGGTTAATTCCAGGTCCATTTCGAGTCCAGCAGATCCAACAGGTAACCAATCAGGTATGGGCCTGAACCAGCCCAACAAGGAAACTAGGGTTTCCATTTGCCTCAGTCAGCGCTGTATGAGAGAACAACGTGCAGATCAAGCCAACAGCCAGCAGAACTTCCGGCCGGGATCCCCGGGACTGAACCATCCCGGGGTATCCAGTCAAACAACAACTCACACATGCACGAACAACCAACAGATCTCGCTCATCTCGGAACTAAAACGGCAAACACCGGGGCTATAAAAAGCCCCCGGTGAGGCCATGCAAAGGGGGACAAGAAAAGAAACGGTAAACCAAAGCCACACAGAGATACACATAGTACCAATACAGTACCCAAGATCATCGACCAACACACAAAAATCCCATCATCATCGAACCAAAAAACCACCATCAACACAGAACGATGAAAAGAAAAAAGAACTAAAGAACCACACAAAAATTCCAGCAACCAAACGAATACTACAGTAAGACCGTGAGAACAAGCAACACAACATAGCACAAAGACCAAACGGCGAGAACAGAAGCGGAAAGGTCACCGGAAAGGTAAAAGGGTGAGACTTTTGCCTTAGATCTACGCCAATAGAGATTTTGTTTGGAGAAATAGGGGTTTTTTTTTTGCGGTGTTCGACGGTGATCGGCGGGTGGCCGTGCTCCCATTGGTGGTGCTCTCTCTAGAGAGAAGCGAGAGTGAACCATTTTAGAGAGAGAGAGAGGAGATATGAGAAATGAGGAAGGATAAGTGATTTGGGGGGTGTTGTTGGGCTTAAATAGTAGGAGCAAAACGACGTTGTTTTATCAAGGGTTTCATACGCATTTTCGCGTCTGGATAAACTATGCCTCTGGTGTCTGTGAGTTGTAAACCTTCTGTTTTGGTCACTGAAGTAAAATTTTTGATATTTTCGATTTGGGTTTCCAATTTTATTATGCTTACTATTTAGTCACTAGTTTATATATATATATATATATATATATATATATATATATATATATATATATTATTATTATTATTATTATTCATTATTATTAACATATATATTTTATTTTATATTTTTATTATTATTATTATTATCATTGTATATACTTTTTTAATTTTTTTATTTCCTTTTTTATATTTATTGTATTTTTTCTCTTTTCTAGTTTTTAATTATTTATTTATTTATTTATTTAATTATTATATGGTTTTTCCCTTTGCTTCTTTTTTATTTTATTTTTTTATTATTATATTTATCCTATCTATCTTCATTTTATTTTTACTTTCTTTATTTTATCTTATTTATTTCATTTGTTTTTTAATTGTTTTTTATCTTATTTATTTTCACTAATTTTTTTCTTTCTCTACTAACAAGTGTTCTGACTTTTTAAGGGAACATTTTTTGAATCGATCACAGGTATGTAATTCGAATCGGATAATTTTAATTTTAATTTGAATTTCAATTTTCGCAATTAAAGACAACCGGTAAATTAATTGGTATCGAAAGGGCGGTTCAAGGGTGCTAATCCTTCCTTGACCGTAACCAACTCCCGAACCCGACACGTTTCTGGTACAATGCAGATCAAGTAAGATGGAATCCGACCCACCTAAATTCGTGTTAAAGTGGTCGATGGTGACTCCAAATCATTAATCCAAGTCGAAGCCCAATTCCGGGTCCAACCGAAAGAAGGTTTCGACAGAGCCAAACTTGTAGAATAGTTTTGAGCTGGGAATTGGGATGTAAATCTGGCTGTTTATCAAATGTCCATTTGTGGCTAATATTCGAGTTTATGAGCGCATTACCTGGTTTCTTTTAATGATAACATCGAGATAGGTAGAAAAATTCTTCCATACGTTATGAAACAATCAAATCATCGTTTTCATAATCATTTTTTAAAAAAATAATTAAATTTTAAAAACATTTATTTTTTGATTTAAAAAATTGGTGGTTTTGAATTAATTTGAATTAAATGAAAAGGGAGTCGCCATTGATCTTTGTGATAGGTAGGTTGAATACATAAAAATGTCTTTTAAAACAATTTTTAAGAAAAATCATTTTTAAGACAAAAATTGGTCTATGTTTACCAAAAATTCAATTTTACGGGTACGTGAGTCGATTATGCGTGGGGAAGAATTATCACCCCACAACGCCCAAAATTTATACTTAGTCGATTACACGTTGTCGTAATGATGAAAATTATGAATCGAATATAAAATTGAAATACGATCCATTTATTAAAGTTTAATTAATTTGCTTCGAATTTTTTAAATATGGAAAATTCTTTAACTTGAAAATAAATATCGATATTAGCAATCCTCCATCGGGAAAACTATCTCGCCTATTTCTTTTCCATAAAGAATATTCCCACCTCGAGAAAAATGTGTGTCGAATATAAACTAAAAATCGATATTTACGCAAAATAACATAAATTACCATTTAAAAAATGCATTGCATTATTTGAATAATAAAAGAAGATTTAATTAGTAAAATAAATAAGATTTATTTCAAGTTTCCATTTCGTTTAAATGTCGTATCGGATCGCATCACTTCAACCAAGTGATACTTTCCATGCTCATTCTACATACCAGTAGATAATGAAATAAGGTAGAAACAAATATGATTGTAAATGTAAAATAAAATATTTACAACACATAAAGCTAATAAAGTCTATCTAGAATAATACATAGAGCCGCAATCTACAAAATATACATGTGAATGAAGGACTAGAATAAAATAAAATATTACATATCAAAATAAAAATATTATAAAAATAATAATCATATTCGATTTAAGGGACCAAAATAGTACTAACAGAAATTTGATTGGCTGAAAAACAAATATAAATAAACCATATCCACAATCAAATACATTAAATAATATGGGTACCAGAAATGAAAATAACCCAAAAATAATATTAGGGACCAAAATAAGCTCAACCAGAAAAATGAAAGTGAAAATAGCAATTAAACCTAAATATAACAATATGCAACGCAGTGACTAAACTGAAATAATTACAAATATCATGACAAAAGTCAAACACTGACCATAATAATAGATTAAGCAATAACAAGACTAAAAATGCAAATATTGTAACATTAATGCTCGAAATAAAATAAGGTAAAACTTCATTAAATGGATGAAAAATGAAATTACAAAGGTGGAAAGACCAAAGTGTGATTATTCCACGCACGAAAATACATAATCACCCTCCTCTGAAACTACGTCGTTTCACTTGGGTATTTAAGCCTAAAACTGAAGCTTCTTCTCTCATTTCCCTCATTTGCTCCATTGAAGAAAACATAGAGAGAGAGAGAGAGATTTAGAACTATCTCAATTTCCCCTCTCGTCGGAGGAAGGAGGTCGTCGTTCATCGGCTCTGTTCTACGACGGCCCACGGTGGTCGGAAGGAGTAAAAAACTCCCAAAACGCTCCTCTCATATCCCTCAACCCGATTCCTAACCCTTCCAACTTAAAACCTCCCTAGAACCTTAGATCTATAAAAATAGAAGGATTTTTACCTTCGGTGATGGGTTCTTTGAACTACAGTGAGGCCACGACTACAATATATGGGTGAAAGATGACTTTTCTAGGTTCTTACCTCTCGGTTTCTCTTTTTTCCAAAGGGTTTTTCTTTTTTTCCCTTGTTGTTTCTTTTTTTGAAAGTTCTCTCTGGTTTTCCATTTTTTTGTTTTGAATGGTTCCCCTTTAATATCTTGCACCTTTCTTTTTTTTTATCCTTGCTTTCCTTGGGTAGATAATAATATTTGTTGGATTGACAGTCGGATTGCCTCGGGATTTCCTTGATTTGTTTTCATTTTTTATATTGGGGTTTTGGATTTGATGAGAACTGTGATTTTCTTTTTTTTCTTGACTGCTGATATGATTTTTGCCATTGTTTGATGGATTTATCGATGACTGGCAGCTCGGGAAGTAATCGATGGTGGCTCATGTGGTTAGGGAGTATGGCGATGAGGTGCACGCGCTGGCTGAGAGATGAAAGATCGCTGGCGGCGGCGACTAAGCTGGTGAGAGAAAACCCTAAAGAGTTTAGGGTTGGGTTCTCTTGTTGGGTCAGATGTTGGGTAATCTGTGTTGGGCATGGATCGAGTTTGGATTGGGTCTAGATCGAGTCTGTATCAGATTTGGATTCTGGGTCGGGTCTTGTAATTGGGTTGACTTGGTACTAG